GACACACCCGCTGAGAAACCAACTCTGATCATTGGCAGCTCCATTTTGAGAAACGTGAATTTAGCGAAGCCAGCGGCCATAGTTAAGTGCATCCCTGGGGCCAGAGCGGGCGACATTGAGTCTTATTTGAAACTGCTGGCTAAGGATTGTGGTGTCCGAACGATAATGCTGCGATGATGTGTTGAGAAGAAATCCGCTTGACACTGTTCTTGATTATAAAAGTTTATTACATCAAAGAATTCAGCATCAATTACAAGCTCTGCAGCAGCTTGGAGAGTGACCCAGCCCGATGGCCACTCTGTCTCTCTGTACATCAAACACAGCTTATATAGGACATGTTTAGGTCTCTGCTAAAAACCATATAAGGGCACAGTCCCTTCATACACACTAATCTCTACTCCCCCTACCACTGGGTCAGAGGTCAAATTCCATAGAAGGGTTCACTCTTTGCACACCCATCAATCATTACTTCCCCATAAGGGTTCACTGTCCCCAGCTACAGAGCATTATGTTAAACTGTAATGGTCAAATGCACATATGTTATACCACAGGATAAACGTAAATACAGTAAGATTGTTATTCACGTCGGCGGTAATGACTCCCGGTTACGCCAATCGGAGGTCACTAAGATTAATGTTGAGTCGGTGTGTACATATGCAAAAACAATGTCGGACACCGTAGTTTTCTCTGGACCCCTGCCAAATCTGACCAGTGATGACATGTATAGCTGCATGTCGTCATTCCGCCGCTGGTTGTCGAGGTGGTGTCCAGCAAACGATGTGGGCTTTGTTGATCATTGGCAGACTTTCTGGGGAAGACCTGGTCTGATTCGGAGAGACGGCATCCATCCCACTTGGGAAGGAGCAGCTCTCATTTCTAGAAATCTGGCCAAGTTTATTAGTGGACCAAATCCATGACAACCCAGAGTTGAGACCAGGAGGCAGAGTCGCAGTTTAACGCACTTCTCTGCCCTTCTTTTTCAGCAGTTACCCACCCAAAACCCTACGCAGAGTCGCAGTCTAACACACTTCTCTGCTCCTCCATTTCAGGAGTTACTTAGTGAAAATCCTATAGTGACGGTGTCTGCCCCCGACCATCGAAATTATTTAAAAAGGTAAACAGAAGAGGAGTTGTGCATAAAAACCTCATAAAAATTAAAACCACAAGAGCAATAGTGCAAATGAATAGGAGAGTTAAATGTGGCCTCTTAAACATCAGATCTCTCTCTTCTAAAGGTGTACTAGTAAATGAACTAATATCAGATTATGATATTGATTTATTTTGTCTTACTGAAACCTGGCTGGGTGATGGAGAATATGTTAGCCTAAATGAATCCACCCCTCCCAGTCATATTAATACTCACATTCCTCGAGGCACAGGCCGAGGAGGTGGAGTTGCAGCTATCTTCGACTCTACCCTACTAATCAGCTCTAAACCTAAACCAAACTATAACTCATTTGAAAGTCTTGTTCTTAGTCTTTTGCACCCAAGTTGGAAATCACTGCAACCAATTCTCTTCGTTATAGTTTACCGAGCACCTGGCCCATATTCTGAATTCTTATCTGAATTTGCAGAGTTCTTGTCAACTTTAGTCCTTAAAACGGACAAAGTTATTATTGTAGGGGATTTTAATATTCATGTGGACGTTGAGAATGACAGCTTTAGTACTGCGTTTATCTCTCTGTTAGATTCAATTGGCTTCTCTCAGAGTGTTCATGAACCGACTCACTGTTTTAACCACACCCTCAACCTTGTTTTGGTGTATGGTATTGAAATTGAACATTTAGTGGTGTTCCCACAGAATCCCTCTTTGTCCGACCACTGTTTGATAACTTTTGAGTTTGTATTGCTGAACTACTCGCCATTGGGCAAAAATTTCTATACAAGATGTCTGTCTGATAGTGCTATAGCTAAATTTAAGGATGCGATTCCATCAGCTCTAAATACATTATCAATTCACAAAGTAACGGAGAACTCCTGTGCTAGTTTCAGTCCCTCCCAAATCGATCATCTTGTTGATAGTGCTGCAGGCTCGCTGCGAATGACACTCGACTCTGTAGCCCCTCTAAAAAAGAAAATACTAAAACAAAGACGGTTAGCTCCATGGTATAATACTGAAACTCGCAAATTAAAGCAAATATCGCGGAAACTTGAGAGGAATTGGCGTTCCACCAAAGTGGAAAATTCTCGTTTAATTTGGCATGATAGTCTTAAAACTTATAGGAAGGTCCTCCGTAATGCTAGAGCAGCGTACTACTCGTCATTAATAGAGGAAAATAGGAACAACCCCAAGTTATCTCTTAACTCAGGAACCTTAGAAACAGCTGTAGAACCAGATACATGTTTAGACTGTTTTGCTTCCCTCAATCTTTACCAACTAACTTCAATAATTTCTTCATCTAAACCATCAACCTGCCTCTTAGACCCCATCCCGACTAGGCTGCTTAAAGATGTTTTACCCTTAGTCAGCACCTCTATACTAGATATGATCAATCTATCTTTATCAACAGGCTATGTACCACAGTACTTTAAAGTAGCTGTAATTAAACGTCTTCTGAAAAAGCCCAAACTTGATCCGGATGTTTTAGCCAACTATAGACCTATATCTAACCTTCCATTTCTCTCTAAGGTTCTGCTGAACAGCTGTGTGACTTTCTACAGAGCAATAGTTTATTTGAGGATTTTCAGTCAGGATTTAGAGCTCATCATAGCAAAATTTTAACGACCTTACTAACGACCTCCTTATTGCATCAGACAAAGGACTTGTCTCTGTACTGGTTTTATTAGATCTTAGTGCTGCATTTGATACCATTGACCATCAGATCCTATTGCAGAGACTGGAATATTTCATTGGCATTAAAGGAACCGCTCTAAGCTGGTTTAAGTCCTATTTATCAGATCGATTTCAGTTTGTACATGTTAATGATGAGTCCTCCATGCACGCCAAAGTTAGGCATGGAGTTCCTCAAGGATCTGTCCTCGGACCAATCCTCTTCACTTTATATATGCTTCCTTTAGGCAATATTATCAGGAAACATTCATAAGCTTTCATTGTTATGCAGATGATACTCAGTTATATCTATCGATCAAACCAGATGAAACTCATCAGTTAGCTAAACTTCAAATGTGCCTTCAGGATGTTAAAACCTGGATGACCTGTAATTTTCTCATGTTAAACTCAGATAAAATTGAAGTTATTGCTCTGGGGCCTAAGCACCTCCGTGACGCATTATCTAAAGATATAGTTTCCCTGGATGGCATCGCCCTGGCCTCCAGCACCACTGTGAGGAATCTTGGAGTTATCTTTCATCAGGACATGTCGTTTAAGTCTCACATTAAGAAAATTTCAAGGACCGCCTTTTTTCACCTACGTCATATTGCGAAAATCAGGAACATTCTGTCTAAAAATGATGCAGAAAAACTAGTCCATGCATTTGTTACTTCTAGGCTGGATTACTGCAATTCCTTATTATCAGGCTGCTCGAAAAAGTCCATTAAGACTCTTCAGCTGATCCAGAATGCTGCAGCACGTGTTCTGACAGGAACCAGGAAAACAGATCACATTTCTCCTGTTTTAGCTTCTTTGCATTGGCTTCCAGTAAAATCCAGAATAGAATTTAAAATCATTCTTCTTACCTACAAAGCTCTTAATGGTCAGGCACCATCTTATCTTAAAGAGCTCATAGTACCTTACTACCCCACCAGAGCACTGCGCTCCCAGAATGCAGGGTTACTTGTGGTTCCTAGAGTCTCCAAAAGTAGACTAGGAGCCAGAGCGTTCAGCTATCAAGCTCCTCTCCTGTGGAACCAGGTTCCAGTTTGGGTTCAGGAGGCAGACACCATCTCCACATTTAAGAGTAGGCTTAAGACTTTCCTCTTTGATAAAGCTTATAGTTAGGGCTGGCTCAGGTGAGTCCTGAACCATCCCTTAGTTATGCTGCTATAGGCCTAGACTGCCGGGGGATTTCCGATGATGCAATGAGCTCCTCTCTCCTCTACTTTCTCTCCCTCTGTATGCAACCTCATCCCATTATTGCATGTTACTAACACAACTTCTCCCCTTTCTGGTAGTCTTGTGCTTTCTCATCTCTCTCCTCTCTCCTATCACTTCCTGCAGGTTTTCTGGTTCTGGAGCTGTGGAGTCTGGATCTGTGGTTGCGGGTCACCTGCTGCCCCCGTGTTCCTGCTCGACACCCTCTGCTGCAACGACTACTGTTGCTAGTCTTATTGTTATTATAATCATTAACATTACGATTGTTACCATTAACACTATTATAAATATCTGTACCATTTTTCATTTAGTCTATAGCAACATCACCTTCACTGTCTGTACCTCTGTGTGTATATTGTGTAGGCTGCCTCCCTCCCCTCTCTCTCTCCTTACATCTCTCTCTCTCTCTCTCCCTCTCCTTCACCCCCAACCGGTCGAGGCAGATGGCCGCCCACCCTGAGCCATGGTTCTGCTCGAGGTTTCTGCCTCTTAAAGGAAGTTTTTCCTTGCCTCTGTCTCCTAGTGCTTGCTCTTGGTGGGAACTGTTGGGCTTCTGTAAATAGCATCATAGAGTACGGTCTAGACCTGCTCTTTTATGAAAAGCGCTGTGAGATAACTGTTGTTGTGATTTGGCGCTATATAAATAAAATTGAATTGAATTGAATTAGCCACTCTTTGGCTGATCAGCAGCACAGTGGAGAGGAGTGGAGTGTACATTAATTGACTCAAGGAGTAATGTCTCAAGGCAAGGTTTTGTAGCATTTGCAACATGAATTGAAGCTCAGGTTTTTTGTAAAATGTGAACAAAAAGAGCCACAGGACTAAACCACAGTGGCATCACAACGAGAGGGAAACTTTGTGTCTTTGTCATTTAACAAGCTGATGTTTAGAATTTGAACAGGAACATCAATGAAACAGTTCTATTAGCAACAGGAAACAGCTTTGACTTAAATGGAGGGGGATTAGTACAGTTTAAGAGAGCTTTGAGAGCTTTGGCTCAGAGTCAGACCTGAGGGCAGTGGTGTAGTGGTGAATGGCCTCCTGGTGCCGGCCGCTGTCTTTCAGGAAGTTGGCGTAGTTGTAGTGGACTTTAGCATTGTGAGGCAGAGTCTGGATACCAGAGCTGAAACAAGGAGGAAGAGCGGGAAGAGGAGGAGGCATGAGGTCGGGCTGTAGAAAGAAATGGGTTGCAGACATCTGAGCAAAATAACTGTGATGAACGGAAGCCTGCAGCCCCACTGGGACTGGATATATGTGTGTGTATGGGGGGACACATTACTTGTGCTAGTCAGTGACCTTAACCTGTCCAGAGCGCCTTTTTGGGTAATTTTTCACGCCCACCCCAGTAATAATTACAGCCACAATGACCTCTTGTTTTTCTGTGAACTGGCTGCTCTTCCTGTCATTTAAATCCCATCCAGAGGAATGTCCTCCTGTTTCTAAGTGTCTTATCAGCTCAGAGTGAAATTTGAGTTTTGTGTGACAACATGCTGTTGCTACTCTGAGAGATGGAAACATGCGAACACCAACATATAGGCTTATCCTGGAACCAATATGACAATAGAACAAAAGTAAAGCATTCAGGAGACAGCTATTCTCTTTACAGCCTTGTTTTTTAGCCGATACATGGCTTGCTGCTAGGTGGGGATGGTGGTGGGGCTTTAAAACATAAATGCCTAGGAGCCCTTTGTCTCATAATCCGTCCATGACAACATTACATGATCATATGAGCACCTGTAACTCTGACAGGGAGCTTATTCCATTCTATAATAGCTTTAAAAAGGGTAGATAGAGCAATGCCATGATAATCTGTTTTTTTCATCTGTGAAAGAGGTGGGTAAAAAAGTTTTGGCAGGATAATTTTTTTTCTAAGTTACTATTTTTCACCTGTGAAAACAGGCCTTAGCATATGTTAAGGAAGTTCTCTCATTCTCGCACATACCCACAGTATCTCCTTACCGGAAGAGGGCCTCCCTGGAGAGCCAGACGTGGTTCTGCTGGACGGTCTTCCAGGAGAAGAGCAGGAACAGAAGTAGCATCGAGACACTGAGAACTGTGGTGCCCCAACGGCCCACCACCGAACACAACCGACCAAGGCCATGAGCTACCAGGATACAGTAACCCATACTTGAAGAGGAGAGGTGTAGGAGGGAGGATTTAAATGAGGGGAAAGGAGGACAGAGGGGAGAGTGAGAGACAAAAAGGCAAAGGTATTATTCATGGCCCATGAGTTCTTCTTGATCTGTTACTGCAGTCCTACATCCTCTCAGTGTTGCTGTCATTACTCAGCACGTGCCTCTTCAAACCTGTGTGACATCATGTCATTGCCCCCGGGGGCCTTTCATCCAAATCACTTCAGGTCCCACGGATGGCTGCTGTGGCCTAATAATAACAATCCTGTAGTATAAAGGTAATTTCCACTAGACCAAATGCGCATCTGCCTCTTGTGAAAAACAGACCTGTGGTTGTGTTTTGTGTTTGGAATTGTTGGGTTTCTGTAAATAACATCACAGAGTACGGTCTAGACCTGTTCTTTTATGAAAAGCGCTCTGAGATAACTGTTGTTGTTATTTGGCGCTATATAAATAAAATTGAATTGAATTAAATTGTTTTTATGTATAAATATAACGCCCTGAAGACCTTATTGCTGACAATGAGCTAGACTGCCTATTTCTTACTGAAACCTGGTTGGGTGAGGATGCACCAGCAACACTTACAGAAGCCTATCTCACAATTTATGTGTTCTTCCATTCCTGTAGAGAAGGTAGGAAAGGTGGGGGAAAAGCTGCAGTACTCACTGAACCTCTAAAGTATAGAGACGCTGACCTTGGAGTGTATTTTGAGAATAATGCAGTAACCTTGAGCTGTTACCTGCCATTGTTGAGACTAACCATCTACAGACTGCAAAACTCTCTTTTTTGCTGAATTCTCTGAATTTCTCACATGCATTCACGTTAAATATGATCAATAATAATACGTTCAATTTTAATTGGTGATTATAATATACATGTTGATAACAGGAGAGTTAATAAAGTGAAGCACTTTTAATGTATTAGAGTGTATGGATTTTAAACAGCATGTTAATGAACCAACTCATAATGTAGGTCACTCTTTGGACCTGGTATTATCATATGGGCTGAACATAAATGTTTCTTGTATTGTTCACTTGGCTCTCTAAGAACACCACTGTGTATGTTTTATTTATTTTATTGAAAAACAAAACAACCAACATCTGTCAACTCCACAAGGCCATAACAGCTGAAGACACACCCAGCATACACTGTGAAGCCCTGCTGGACAGTTTCAGCCTGGTTGACATGCTCAGGGAAGTGGTAACAACAATTAAGTCCACTCCACATGCACCCTTGACAGTTCTCAAAAAAAGGTTTTTAATTTGGTGTCTTAAGCATTGGCATATACAAAACAGCTCGCCTGTGGTCCAGCCCTTTCCCTTTCATCCCTGTGATGTCACAGGGATAACAGCAAAATGCACGATAATGCTCGCTAAGCATGCTCACTATGCTGCTGTAGGCCTAGACTGCCTGGGGACTTCCCATGATGCAATGAGCTCCTCTCTCCTCTACTTTTTCTCCCTCATTTAAAACTTACGGATGAAAGATACTTTTGTTACAGATTAAAAACTCACCACTCTCAAATTCTTGCTCCATTCCACGTTGCTAAGCTGGTAAGGGGATATACAGCTGAACCGAAGCCATGTTTACCAGCTTCTCACTGACTGCCCTTCTCTGCTTCTGATTGGCTAGGTTCAGTGTGTAATATTTCTGAGGATCTATTGAAAGAAATGCAATATAATATCCATAACTATGTTTTCAGTGGTGTGTAAAGACCTTACATAATGAACCATTATGTTTTTATTACCTTAGAATGAGGTATTTTTATCTACATAACCATGGGCACCCCCTTCTATGGAGGTCGCTGTATTTTGTCGTCATGTTTCTATTGTAGCTGTCAACGAACAAACCATCACCGCGTTCTTCTTCTGCTTGTATAATTCCAGCTGTGTAGACGCCCATCACTACATTGAATACATACATAGAAGAAGAAGAGGGAATAATAATAATAATAATAATATAAAGTCTCTGAGTAGTCTTCTGGTTTATTAGAGTTAAGAATAGAAGTGACATTTGGACAAATGAAGAGCACACGTGTTATTTAGTACGAGAGCCAACAGCCTGTGGATCTTTATACCATGAAGCCAGAGTCGGGACAGATGCAGACAGCTGACGGCAGAAATCACGGATGTTGTGGATTTTCCCAGATGGAAGACTATAATGTGGGACAGATGTTTTCAATGCGGTGCTGAAGTTGTCTGTTTTCTGCTGGACAGGTAATTAACTTAAGTTTGTCAGACTTTAGCGATGCAAATGAAAGCTGTTGTTTGATAGCTTTAGCTTGAAGCTGGCCATAATCACAGAGAGCCGTGAGGTGTTTCCCCTGTTAGTGGTGTGAAATATGTAGTTGCATTAATTTCATGTCGCCTAGTTATTCTCCAGCCTGTGGGTTGGCTATGCCAGTTACATTAGCAAGACAATCAGCTGATTAATTCGCAATAAAACCGTAACATTAGCTTAGAGCATAGAAGCATCAGCCAGCTAAACTCTGCGCTCTGTTTTGGCTTTGTCGGTTATGTTTGTGAGACAATCAGCTGATCACTAATTGGCAATAAAATGATAGCTTCAGCCAGCTAAACTTTTGCACACAAATGTGTAACTTTTACTTTCACACGCTAAATGCCCATTAAAAATGTAGCACCGTTTTACCACAAGCTGCAATTATGGCTGTCAGTATTACTTTGTGTTTCTGTAGTATTTTAAAAAATTCAAAAAGACATTTTAGTAAGATTTGCATGCTTATCTAATTAAGCAAAGTGAGAGGAGCCTTGATCCTCACCAGCCAATGCCTTTGTAAACTTCATGTATTATGTGGTTTATAATGGACTATGGTGCAGAAACAGTGAGCTTACATTGTCCTGTTATCTGTCAGTGGTCAGACTTGATGCACTAGATGTGATAGTTTCTGAGATGTTACTTTGGTATGTTAGTCCAGATGAGCCAACCCTCCCAAGTTGTAAAATACTGTATTACAGGAGTATGAGAGCACTTCATTTCTTGATGTGGCTGTTGTTGATTAATGAACAAGTAATAATAATATAAAAAAATATATGGTTTTACTGAATAATTAAGTAAATATAATTCCTTAATATACAGTATCTATCTACAGAAACCTAATTTCTTGACTGGCAACTCTCTACTATCTCATAGATGACATCTTTGCACCGTAGCTATACAACTCTCTTGGATAGGGGAGGGGGGTGCAATTCGCAACCCTCACCACTAGATGTCACTAAAACGTACACACTGAACCTTTAACTAGTAATTGGCATGTGCAACTGCCAACAAAGATCATGTAGAGACAAGATGTATCAATCCATAGCTAAAACAAAGCCTTCAACACACAAGGTGAAAAGAGGAGCTGCAGCAATGCGCAGTATGACAAAAATATGGTGTTTTTTGAAAATTAACCTATGTAAACCTGTTCTGGTACAACCCCTAAATAAGATTATGAACCTGAAAATGAGCTGTATGAATTTCTTGCTGGCTAAATCAACAGTGGTCCACAGGATGGTAATATGGGTGGCGTTAGTTGGTGAAGTAATGTGGAAAGCATATAACTTTGCACCGGATAACATTAGCGACTGCTCGGTTGTTCCGACCCGGCGTCCCCACATTAAAAGCAGAATAGTGGCTGATGCAAGCAATGGAGAAAACAAGTGAGTTTTGAGCCCATTGACAATAAGGCAATGAAAATTGGATTAATTTCATTGAAAAATTTACATATAGTCCCTTTAATATCTTATTTATAGGCCTTATTATTATACTTATTTAATTAAGTTGCAGTCTTTCGTGATTTGAAGAGGGCACAAAGCCAGATATTATTTCATTTAACAGATCCTTTGCTAAAGCAATGGCGTAAAACAATGTTAGAGAACATTTTATGTTTTAAGTTTGTGAATGTTTATGCTTCATTATGAAACTGTGGCGGAACTATTTAGACTATGGCAGGCCGCACTGGACTGGGAAAATGGGAAACACTGGACTATATAAAGTCATATCCCTATTTTGGCTACATTCAAACAGGTGGTAATTTTAATGTGACTTTATAGGCGTTAGCATAATACTTTTTCTATTAACATAGTATGTATGATTGTATGGGAGTATGGCGGCTCTCTGCTGTTCTTCCTTGGGGCGGGGTACAGCTTCCCCCGGGACATGCGGTCTGGGGTCCTTTGCGCTTTGGGGGGTCGCAGGGTGCCCTGGCTTCTGGGGGTGGGGGTCTCTGCGCGGGTTGATCCGATTGCGGTTTGGTGGGCTGCGGTGGGATTGTGGGGCGATTGTCGATACATCTTGATGCATTGTGCTTTTTCCCTGGGCAGGGTCTCTGAATGGCTGCTGGGCGTTTAGTTTGTGCATTGGAGTCCGGGGGAGGCATTTCCTTGTTGGCTTGGAGGGACCTGTTTGCGTCGTTGGCCTCGGATCCGTGCTTCCCCATTTCTCTGTCGGCCAGTTGTTCTGTCGGCATTACGTTGTCAACTGGCATTTGGGTCGGGGTCTTCCGCGTTTGCATTGCGGTGCATCTGGGAATCTTTGGGTTTTTTTTGATTGATTTATTCTTTTTCTTTCTCCCACCCCTATTGGCTACTGGGGCTCTTGCCTGCCTGTTGCTGGGGTAAGTGTGGCACAGTCGTGGCGTCCCACTCTCACTAACAACTACATTCTTTAACAGGCTTATGCGCACACACATGTACCCACACACATACAGACACATTCACCCACACGCACACAGACACACACAGACACAATCAGTCTCACACATAGACACAAACAAATTTAGGTTGTCCCTGGTAGAATTATTCCTGATGCTTTTCTTTCAGTTACTTATTTAAATTAATTGTTATTATTCCAGCTCTCATGGCTGTGCTGTATTGCTTATTTAGTGTGCTGGACTGTTTCTTGTTTTCATTTTTCTCTTAGTTGTCTTAATATGTCAGCTGTTCATTGCTGCTGTTTCGGCTGGTGGTCTTTTACTATTATTATTATTTTTATTGT